GTATGGTCAGGAATGAAGTTACTCGTTTCCGGAGCACAAAGCCTTGCTAATATTGTATAGGATATCCGTTGCTCATGCAGTCTGATACTGATCTCGGCGTGCCTTGTTTACACTGAAGGAAAAGATAACACCAATATGTTTGCAACAAAGCGTACTGCGGAAGATGTGCGATGAGATGAGTCGTCCTCTGCTTGTCCGCCCGTGGGAGCCCGTTTCCTGCTCCTCCTCTTTCTCCTTCTCCTCCTCTTCCTCCTCCTGCTCCTCTTCCTCCTCCTCCTATCACAGGCTAGCATCCTCCCCAGTATACTACTCTGCCGAAGCCGTGGGCATAATATGGGATGTGGTTTGTGGAAGATGCTGTCGAACATATGGCGTTAACAGTTTGTTCAATGTTACTTTGCAGGTCACACATTACCGGTTCTCTATCTCGTGGCCGCGAGTTCTGCCCGATGGCACCTTACGGACAATTAACGAGAAAGGGATCCAGTACTACAACAATCTCATCGACGAGCTGTTGGCCAACAATATTCAGTAAGCTTTCTGTTAATCTGTCCACTCTTTGTTTCCATGGATATTTTGTAAATTACTGTGGCTTCTTCACTACTTATATACGCATTTAGTTGTATTTGGAGCCTTTAGTTAAAAAAATAAATAACTGAGAAGTTGCTGAAATGTGATGTTTTGAGCCTAGAGACACTGCTATCACAGCCAGGCTGTAAACCACACCAAATTATACCACTGCCATTTTCTGGGCGATTAAGGAGAATGCAAAACACCAGTTGAGATAACACCAATGAGAACAGCTCTATGGGAATATAACACCAATGAGAACAGCTCTAAGGGAATATAACACCAATGAGAACAGCTCTAAGGGAATATAACACCAATGAGAACAGCTCTAAGGGAATATAACACCAATGAGAACAGCTCTATGGGAATATAACACCAATGAGAACAGCTCTATGGGAATATAACACCAATGAGAACAGCTCTATGGGAATATAACACTATTGTGAACAGCTCTATGGGAATATAACACCAACGAGAACAGCTCTATGGGAATAAGAATCACCTCATACAAGGCTTTTAAAGCACAGAAAAGATGCACACATCTACACGAACACTTTGATGTAGTAAGTGGGTCTGGGGGGAGGGGGGGGGGAGCGAAGAAGAGAAAGTCTTAGCCTGGAAATGTTACAGATCAGGTCACATTCGATAGGTACGTGCTCAGTCTCATACATACTCCCCCTCTTTCCTAGAATACGCGTCTAGTCGCCCTGCTTTCGTAGCTCAAGGTATATGATGCTGCCCCCCCCCCCCCTCCCAACTCCCCGGAGGGCCGAAGAATTGGCCCGCTGCCTTCTAAGAAGCATGTCGAAATAGACGACTGGTGTAGTAGCAGCTCCACTCAAAATGGACGCTAGGGTGGGCCACTGTTTTTAGCCGTGACAAATGTTTTGCTTCTGCCAGACTCTGGCCGTTGCATTTTTGCAACCATTTGTAGACTGAAAGGATATAGTTTCGTCTCCCAGCTTCTGAGTTGAGTTCATGGCGTGACCCTGTTAGCTGGGGATTTCCTGCGGAATGTTTTCGACTGTGACAAACGTGGTGGTGTGAGCTGTAGATTCAGAAAATGTCGCGACGCCGGTTGTCACAATATTTGTGGTACTATTGTGTGATTAAAATTGATATCGTGTGCAACTGCTGATCTGTTGGTGACTTCTGCTACCATCCATGATGAACTGCATATCTAATATCGGACTGTTTGTGTTAGCACTTCTGATGGCTACCGTATGCTTTTAATGCGTGTGTTTGCTAGTGCATATGCTGAGACAGCAGTCTGTCAATCTTTCTACAAGGGACTGTGATAAACAATTTGTGTGTTTTACGTTGGCACAGGAGCGAAGCAACTATGGGGTGACCCGTTTGCTATGAAGCTGAAACTAAGATTACAAGATTACCAGACGACAGGTTTTGGTGGAGTCGGATGTTTGGGCCCGAAAAGGGCAGACATCGTAGCCTTGCCGTGTTTACCACAACAGAACGTGCTAATCACAATTTTAAGTGCGAATGCGAAAGAAGATGAAACGCTAATCTTTTTCTCTTGTTGTCACAACCATAGTTGTACCTATCTGCAAACGACAACAGTGATGATGATAATGAAAAAAATTATAATGATAATGATGATAATGATGATGATATTGATAATGATGATGATGATGATGATGATAATGAAGATGATGATAATGATGATGATGATGATGATGATAATGATAATCATGATGATAATGGTGATGATATAATGTTTCTGCTGATTATTCCGATAATGTTGACAATGGTAGTACTAGCTCATCGTCCTCTTCCATCCACAGACCAATGGTGACCCTGTACCACTGGGACCTGCCCCAAGCACTAGAAGACGCGGGAGGCTTCCTAAACCCCTCCATCCAGGATCTGTTCAGAGACTACAGCCAACTCTGCTTCCAACGATTCGGAGACCGAGTTAGTGGCCCCCTTCAGTTTGTTAACTTTTATCATCCGAGTTGTATTTTCTTTCTGACATCTCTTTGTTTGTTTCTTGCTATCTTTGTATGTTATCTTTATTCTCATTTCTCTCACTTATGCTACATACATGTGGTGTCTTTCACGTTATGAGAAATAAAATGAAAAAAAACTTATTTTCTTTTTTGTAAGGATAATATGGCTGGTGGTATTTTGGTAATAATTACGATTTCTCTTCTTTAAAAAAGCCTCCGATGTTACCTGTTTTATAACTGTTGATAATAGTAGTGGACCAGACATTTCTCTTATTTCTTAATCTTCTTGATTTCACCATAATTTTTTTTAAATGAGAGATGAGAATGATGATGATGGTGCTGATAATGATGGTGACGATGATGCTGTTGATAATGGTGCTGCTGATGATGATGATGATAGTGATGATGAAAATGATGGTGCTAGTTTTAGTGTTGAAAGTGCCGCTGTGGTGTAACGGTTAGACTCTCGCTTGCGGATCGGAAGGTCGTAGGTCAGATTCCTTGCGGAACCGGATTTGTTTCAGAAATAACTTTCTTCCCTGTTCGACCCAATTTTGAGTGAGTACCATGTAGAGTCCTGGAATCTAAGGGCGGCCGGCGTGAAGTTCACCACATCCCACACAGAGTGATGATTGATCTATAAACTATAGATCTGGTCCCTATATTCCCAATACTCCTGAAGGCGTGGACAAGGATCCTTTTACTTGTGGTGTTTACGATGAGGAGGATGATGTTCCAAGACATCCCGTTAAGGGGTCACTACACCAACAAAATTTTTTATTTATTTTCAGAGTTAGAGCAATTTTTTTATAACGGTCATTTGAAGGGATACATGCTATTACATTTGCATACTTTAAGTGTAGAAAAAAAAGTCCATGGTTGTCGTGGCAATAGCCGCCAACTTGGGGGAAAAAAAACATGTGATTAGAATCCTTAAATTTCAAAAATGAACATACGTATTGAAAAACAGAAGATAGATACGCGACCTTTAAAAAAATCTTGCATCATAATTTTACAAAACAAAAACTTTATAAAATCTTTGTCCAAAAAAAGAAAAAAAAAGAAAAGAAAACAATCCCTATAATATTGTTTAAGGAGTATTCATACTAAATTTAATGTTTTTAGTCTATATATTAGCTGCTATTTTAGGATTTCACACACACACACCAAACAGGAATATAGAGATATGAGAAAACTGACTTTTAAACCTTTTTTTTTTATCTAAAAAAAATGCATGGGTTGGTGCCTTTAGTATTAACTTTTCAATGCTAAATTGTTTACAAATGACATAAATTTTGTGTGTAATCTATTCTACGAATGCCGAACTTTACAAACACAAACACATTAAAAAAGTGATATTTTTGTCATACATTGGAGAAAAAAAATGCCGTGTAGTGACACCAGATACTGTAGTAACGATACTGTCAACAACGATGGTGATAAAGATGATGATTATGTTGTCGATGATAAAGATTATCACAATGTGAATGTTTTTAATGTCTTAAAGAGATGATAATGATGATGATGATGATGATGATGATGATGATGATAACGATGAGGATAATAATGCTGATGATGCTTATGATGATGATGATAATGATGATAACGATGAGAAGGATGATGATGACTGGTCTGATAAAAAATGACGCCAGTAGTAATAATTTAGAAATCAATAATGTTGAACGTTTAATGTTGAATTAAGAATTTACATCATAGCATTCTGGACACCCCCATAAGCACTTCGTCCCCATGTTCAGCAGCAAGCGAAGAGTTCCGATTCCGATGGCACCACCAATTGTCTGATTCTATATCCGTCTCGCCCTTGCCTTAAGTGTTGAGCGTCAGCCAGATCCCCTGGTAACTCCACGCAGCGCCATTCTCCTCAGACCGTAATGATCTTTTTTTGAAAAAATAACAGTGAACGAAATAATGATATTGATGACAAATATGGCAATTATGGCTACAATGTTATCGTTGTTAATGATGATGGTGTTGGCGATGAGAATTGTGACGATGAAAATATGGTTATTAAAACAAACGCAACGATGATAGCAACGACAAAACACAACGTCGACAAAGTAATACATGTGTTAAACCAGGCCTTTTTTCTTCTTCTCCAAACTCCAAAAACGACCTTGGTTGGCTTAAATGAGTCCCAGGTAAAGTCCTTGGAAATAAAGGTGGCCCGCTTGATGCTGACCACATCACCCACCGAATGCTGATTGGTCCATCCAGCCCTCTATGCCCTATGCGCCTGGAGGCATGGAAAAAGGTCCTTTACTTTACTCTCATCTCTCCAGGTAAAACTATGGATCACTTTCAATGAGCCTCCGAGTTTCATCATCAACGGCTACGGCGATGGCAACGTGGCGCCCGGACACGCAGATCTGGCCAGAGGTCAATACATTGCCGGACACAACATGATCCTGGCCCACGCCGAAGCTTACAGACTCTACCATAATAAATTCTGGCCATCGCAGAAAGGTCAGCCGCCTCGTGTGTGTCCCCGATTGTTGTGTCGTGATTTTTTTTTTTCTGATTCGTGTGTCAAATCTGTTTTGTTTAGTGTTTTTTCCTCTCTGATTTTGGTCTGTTGCTTAGAGGGTAGTGAATGTCTTCAATAATTTGACAATCGTAGAGTACCAGGGTTCGATTTCAATTACAGATGGTTTGTACAATGGTACGAGAGTCACACTACGGAAGAGATTGAGGCCCCACTGTGTAATATTATCAAAGACAGATGTGGGTCAACTGACAGAAACCTTCAATGGGGAGACAGCACACAGTTGAACAAGGATGTTGGCTGCAATGATGAAGCTGATGATAATGACAACGTTAATGATGGTAATTACTTATAGCGTGATAGCGATGTCGTTATTTATGATGATGGTGATGATGATGATGGTGATGATGATGATTAAAACAAGGGTTCACGTCCAATGCTGCTATTTATCTTGATAAATTCGTCTTAGTGTCTGAATACTAAGACAGTCACGTGGTGTACCACGTCAAATTTAACTTTCCCACGAATTCTTGCTGTTTGCACAAAGCGGGTTGTGTCGTTTTTATTAAAAAAGCTTCTGTCAGCTTCAGCCATCTATGCAGATCTGTTCTGTTATGGGCCACAAAGATATCAGACAGGCGATGACAGTGGGATTTGTATAGTTCAGTGGAATGAATTCAGTATTTGTGCTTCATCATTTATTGATTTAACTCTGCGGTAAATCCCCTGCCGAGATACAGCGAAATATGTCAGCTAATAAATTGTGCACTCTAACGTCTATGTCAGCATTATTTGAATTAGCCTTTTTCTTCAACCCAGGGCAAATTGGCATCTCAGTCAACCAAATCTGGCCAGAACCCAAAAACCCGCTGAACTCAGCAGATGTTGATGCTTCGGAAAGAAATATCCATTTTTTCAGCGATTGGTTTGGCCACCCAATTTTCGTTAATGGCGATTATCCGGAAGTGAGTATACCCAATTGGCACTTACGTGGAAACACACACACACACACACACACACACACACACACACACACACACACACACACACACACACACACACACACACACACACACACACACACACACACACACACACACACACACACACACACACACACACACACACACACACACACACACACACACACACACACACACACACACACACACACACACACACACACACACACACACACACACACACACACACACACCACACACACACACACACACACACACACACACACACACACACACACACACACACACACACACACACACACACACACACACACACACACACACACACACACACACACACACACACACACACACACACACACACACACACACACACACACACACACACACACACACACACACACACACACACACACACACACACACACACACACACACACACACACACACACACACACACACACACACACACACACACACACACACACACACACACACACACACACACACACACACACACACACACACACACACACACACACACACACACACACACACACACACACACACACACACACACACACACACACACACACACACACACACACACACAACACACACACACACACACACACACACACACACACACACACACACACACACACACACACACACACACACACACACACACACACACACACACACACACACACACACACATTCTTCTTCTTCTTCTTCTTCTTCTGAAAGTCCATGCCGTGTGGCGTTGGTATTCATGTCTATCCAAAACTTTCTGTCTCGTGAAGTTTCAGTCAACCCTGACACAGATGATCGTTCACGGCATGATGTTAAACTGTCCAGCATCTCAGTTTTCCTCTGCCTCTCCTGTCCATCAGCTTTCCTACAGTCACGAGGTACTCCAGTTTTCTCCTTCTCATCACATGACCAAATCATGTAGATTTTTTCTTTCTGATGTGGGCAATCAGTTCTCTTCATGAGTCAGATTTTTTTCCAAGACGTCTTCATTACTCTTTTTTTTTTTAAATCTGTCCAGGGTATCCTCATCATTCATCTATAAAACTACTTCTCCGCAGCTTCCAAATAATTGTTCATTCCCTATCTCTCTCTCTCTCTTTCTCTCTCTCTCTCTCTCTCTCTCTCTCTCTCTATATATATATATATATATATATATATATATATATATATATATATATATATATATATATATATATATATATATCACACACACACATTAACACTTGCGTAAACTGGTGGGGTCTGCAAAGCATTATGTTAGCAGTTTTATCATTACACTGTATGTACTTTCTGTTTCAAATCTGTGTCTGTTTACAACCATCTGTTTCAAATGTTTAAATAAACTGAGGGTTAAATCACGTTTTAAAGCCATTTGTCAAACAAAACGGTTACCATGTAACAGAAGGCTGAAATGCGTATTTCATCTGAAAACATCTATTTA